TCAATTCCTTCTCAATTGTATAGTTGAAATATGAAATGAAACATTATTAGAAACCTAGCCTTGCTTAGACTGGAGCTAGATATTGCTTCCAGTCAACATTTTGTAGTCTCATAAATCAAATCCATAGTAACTCAGAAGATATTCTCTTTATAATAGTGCTTTTATAAAGTTTGGAGGTTGTGAATCCAACAGTGCTAATTCATCAAGTTTTTCTTGCTTTTAAGCAGCCCTACTGGTCCATGTAACAGAATTTTTAAAAATTTTGACAAATTTGGGAACATGGCATAATGAGTATGAACACAGGCTCTGGAACTAAACAGCTTGATTCAAATCTTAGCTCTGCCATTTACTAGCTTTTTGACTTTAGACAAGTTACTTAGCCTCTACATGTCTCAGTTTCCTTATCTGAGAATAATAATAGTACTTACTATGGAAGGTTATTATGAACGAGAATTAAATGAGTTAATATATGTAAAGCTCTAGAACAGTGCCTGTTCTAATGTTAAATTAGAACAGTTAAATACTATATGAGTATTTGTTAAATAAAATGCACTAAGTTCTGGTCCATTTGTCAGTTACATTATCTTACAGCTATACCACGTGACAACTGATTAAATAGTCAAATTATATTTGCAAATGGAATTTTTTACAAGTTTACTAATTAATATGATAAAGTTGTAATTGTAAGATTCTACATTTGAGTCTCTCCCTCACAACTGTGGAAGTTACAGCATGTGCGACTCAAGCTTTGGCCACAGTTCTAGTGAAGACAATGAACAGTCTTTAATTAATTTAGTGAATTCAATAGGTATCGAAAGGATAGGTGCCAGGAAAAGGAAGCCAGTTTGACCCTAAATTATGTGGATAAATCTACTGGTAACATCACTCTTTAAGCATATTCCATTCTAGATTACATACTTGAGTTATACAGACTTAAACTGTGCAGCCCCACTAGCAATGATAAAAGTAGATAAAAGTAGACAAAAACAGTAGATAAAAGTTCTAGGGGAAAAGTTCTAGGGGAAAAGATTCAAGCTCAGTACAAGGAAGAACTAATGTGGAAGAGCCCTCCAAACACGAGGTGGACTACCTGAGCACTTAGTGAATTCCATGTCACAAAGAATGTTTAAACAAGCTTAATGACCAGTTGGTGGGACAATTATGATGACAACAATCACTATGTTTGTCCCAGGTCTTTTACATGCATTATCTTCAATCCTCTCACCAACTCTATATTGTGGTCACTATTGCCATTATATAGGTGAGGAAACTAAGGCTCAGAAAGGTTAAATAAATTGCCCCAAACACACAGCTACTAAGTAGCAAAGCTGTGATTTGATCCAGGTCCTTTAATTCCACAGCATATATGCTTTTTACAATTCCACCCTGCCTTTGGTTAAAGATTCAATGTCATTTAATATTCCTTTCAATCCTGAGAGAGTGTGACTCTATGAAATTATATTTTCTTAGACATATCTAGATCGTCTCTAATTCTATAACACTAGAGAAGGTATCTTTATCCAGGAAAAAGATGTGTCTCTCCTTTCTTAATGTTGGTTTGTTACTTCTGTGAGAGAGATAAGTTCCAAAATAACACACCACCTAGTATGTCAATATGTAATGAAATTAACAATAAATTGGACTATGCAGAACAGGTATGGAATTTCTTACTTCTGAATTTATTTCCTAGAGAGGAAGATTTATTCAAAAAAGAGGTAAAATGTTTTTTTCTCTTATAAAAGTAGCAAAATACTTTTTCTTTAAAGTAGGCAGCGAGTGAACACATAAGTAGTGGAGATAAACCTCGATGGCTAACTCACAATTAAAACATGATTCGTGAGAATATGTGAGTATTTTCAGAATTTGTTACTATAATCTCTCACTATCTTGGAGTGGTGATGGTTACATTCGTAAAAAGTGTTATGTTAGATAAAACCTTCATTGGCAAGTTCAAGGTTTCACAGAAAATAGGAAATAAACAACAAAATTGCCAATAAGCAGAAAAGAATCATTTCCCTCATTTGTTCACAAGCTCATTTTTCTGAAAGCCATGATCTGCTGTGGAAGATGGAGTTTATTTCATATTAACCCCACTTCTTTTTGTAAAGTTCTTGATGTAACCCTTTCTGTATTGATAATTAATGCTTTCTTGGATTTGCTTTCTCACTGGTATCATTTTTGCAAGCCTTGGCAGCATTCTTTGAAGCCATCTGGTCTTTCCAGAAAAGAAGGGCATGGTTTTTGTGGGCTGGGTCTCCTACTGTTACTCTCCAATTGTCGTATATGGAAAGGGTAGAGAATAGCAGACCTCTTCTCTCTCCACCATCTGATTATAAGATTGGGGTTGGGGTAAGGATAACTAGTTAAGTTCTTTGGGATCTTGATGGTAAGGATAACTAGTTAAGTTCTTTGGGATCACAGAGTTTAAAATTTAGGCATCCAAATATGAAACCACATTGCAATAAAACTGTGACTGGCAAAATGATAATTGACAAGGGATTACTTCACAAATCTTGTTAGAAATCTTCATAACCTCTTAATATTTTAAAATATACTCCCAAACCTAGAGTTCAAATTTAGCATTCCTTCGTTGGATTCCAAAAGGAGAAAAAAATCAAACAAAAGTTCTCCCACACTCAGGTTAGAATGAACAATCACAGATTCATGGAATTAAAAAGTTGATGGAATTATTCCAATTTTAGAGGAGGAAATCCAGAAAGGCTCCCTAACATGTGACAGGTCACAGAGCTGGCCCTCGTTTAGAACTGTCATAATTTAAAATTTCTCAATACTGTACTCAATATTGCATCTTTCATGCTTCCATCTTTTTTGATAGTCTGTGTTTGTTCTTCACCTACCTGACACTCGTAGTTGGCAACAATTGTCTGTGTTGGGTACAGAAACTGAATTTGGGGATGATCAGTAAAATAAAGCGTCATAGACCCTACCTTCCTATGGAATGAGAAGAAATCTTGTCCCCTTGCAGGGATTTTTAGTTGTCTTCTCTTTTTGGCCCATGAGTGTGGGTTCATGTGCTGGAGATCTTTATGATTCAATCAATTGAAAAAATATGTTTATTCACTCTCTCCTTCCTCCCTTTTCCCCTCACCCCCCCAAATTTCCCCAAATAATCACAGTATTTTATGACTTTAGACACCATTCACTTAAACTGTTTTCCTGCTTACTTCCAAGGAGAGTGGGGAGGTGGGGCAGTGGAGGTTCCTTGAATACTAGCCTGTAAGGATAATATGATAATAAACTACAAAAAGTCACTTTATCTAGCATAAATAGAATTGAATGATGGATGAATTGAAATGTGGAAGATGGAACACTGTCCAGTCAGAGATTTGAGAATAGCTAGACAGAATTCTAATGCTGCTTTTAGCAAGTTAAGAATCATTACTATTCTCCAGTCTTTTGCAAAATACCATAGAGAAAGAAAACATTGTTGGGGAGTCAACCTCTTTGTCTCCTTTCTTTGTCCCCTTTTCTGATTCCTCATTTACCTGAGAACTCAGGAAACATAAAGAAATGAATGTAGGGCATACCTCTGGCACTGGGCCTCATTCAGGCATTCAAAGATCTCAGAATGGTTCTGTTATTTAAAGTTAATAAGCTAAAGACTAGAAAGTGGAAAGGTTTGTGAAACTCTATCACATATACTATTGTGAAATTGAATGGAACTTTGAGCACTGCCAACTTAGCATACTTGATTTGTTTCCTGCACTTCTATAACTCAAGTTACAAGCTTGGCTTTTTTTCCTTATCCCTTTGTTTTGTTTTTTTCTGGGTCCAGAAACACTGACAACAAAAAGGTAAGAAGAGTGATTTTAATGTTAGCTTGCTAGTGTACAACTGCTGGGCCTCTCTAAGGTGAAAAAAAAGTCTGGTAGATATTTCATTCTTAAACATCTAAAATCAGCAAGTTTTGCCTTTGCCTTTGCCTTTGCCTTTGGAAGCCATGCGCTCAGTCTCTGAACAGGATATATCATGTCTTTTGCTCAGTAAAACTCCTCTATCTTGTGAGCATTTCCATGACTTGAACATAGTAAATACTTTCAAAAATGTGTTGTGCTTAAATGAATCAAATGTTATGTGCGGATTTGCAGCTCTGACATTACAATAGTCCTCAAGGGCAATAAGAAAGTTGTAGTTTACAAAGAAAAGATAAGCCATGCAAACTATCAACCTCCAAAATCTCAAATCAGGTTTAGCATCTCACTTTTACCCATTGAGTTAATTTCTTTCTTTTGTGTAAAACCCACTTAGCACCATAGGTAAAGAAGTTTTTCCTAAACAAATAATGAATAGGCATGAACTACAGGATAAACCTCTAGAGTAAAAAAAAATCAATAGTTCTATAAGGACTTACATTTTTACAAGATGTTTTAGACTTCAGAATTCCATAAGAGCAAAGGCTGTAAGCTCAATAAATGACTTATTAGACAAATGAGAACAACAGCCAATATTAATGATGATCTTCAGTGAACTGAGAAATATCCAGATAGTTATATTTATAAATTGATCAATATTTTAAACTTAATTGTCTGGGGCTTATAAGAATAGAATCTTATAGGTTTTATACAACCATCATACAGTGAGACTCCGCCAGAGGGATGTAATAAAAATGAGAATGAGAGAACCAAGAGGTCAAAGAGACAGGCGTGGCTTCTTCGCAAGTCAGGGAAGACAAACATTCCCAGACAAGATACCATGGTTCAAAACTTAAGATGTGAAGTCCTCATGCAAACACTAAGGAGATATGAAAGAATCTCTGTCCTTACAGACTTTTTGAAGTGAGAGAATATCACTTCATAGTATAATGAAAATATCATCAGAGTTGTTACAATGGCATGCAACAATGGTTTATTGAGCACTTGTTATGAGTCAGGCATAGAGCTCAGCACTTCACATGCGTTGTCTCATCAATTCTCAATGCAACTCCATGGCATATGTATTGTTATTGTTCCCACATTAAAGATGAGAAAATTGAGGCTTAGAGAGTTTAATAACTTGTCCAAAGTCATAGTCTAGTAAATAATAGATCTTACATTCAGACCCACATCTGTTTGGCTGCAATGTCCATGTTTTTAAACCCTGTGAATACCAAGACTCGCGCTAATGGGATTGATCTCCAGGTGGGGGAAACATCAGGAACAAACCTGTAATGACAAGGAAATAACATAATTGTGATCAGTAAAATGGTTTGATTCTACATGTCCTATCTTTGGACTCTTATCTTCCTCTTTTTTCCTGCCCTGGTCACATTAAATCTATAGGAATGGGTCCTGAAAAGCCCCATTAGCTATGTCAGATTTGGGGACAAAAATCAGTTAATTAAAACATTTGTTAAGATCTTCTTATGTTATAAGAATTCTCTTTTCTCAAGAAGTTCACATCTGATAGAATACAGAAATTTAAACACCAATTATAATTCTGTGAGATGAGTACTATGCCATTGCTAAGTATAGTGAATTATGGGGGCTAACAGAATGGACACAGATTTTAGTGTACTTGTGCTTAGAAAATAACATCTCAAATTTTTCTTGTCCATTTTGGTTTCACTTATGCTTCTAAGTTACAAGTTATTCTGACTAACAGAAATGGGAGGAAAGATTTTTATTCAATCTTAATTTTTAAAATGTTAAGCCCCAGCACACATTACTTTCCACATACTTTCAAGGGCATTTTTCTAGAATCAGGTAAATGAGAGCAAGCAAATGACCTACTTACAGCGAAAAATGCTCCAGGTTATAAAGGATGGGAAGCCAAGTGCATCCTGGAAACCACAGCATCTGGTCTTGTTTTCTGCTTCATCTATCAATCTGCTGTTACAGGAATTGAGAATTAATGTGTCAACTACAGTACTGTTTCCTCTATTTTGTCTGATGAATTCATATCTTTGTTATCCTATTCAATCTCTCTCATCTCTTCTATTAAAAAAAAAAAAACATGTGGGCATTTATAAAGATCCTGAATTATTCCTAGAGAGATTACTCTTTCATCTATGCCTCAAAACTTTGCTAAAGAGTGTATAGTAAGGTCAGATATCTTCTCAAGTAACTCCGTCTTTATCAATCCTGATTTTACAGATTATATCACTTGAATAGTTTATTTTCAGTACTGTATTAAAACTAAACAACAAAATATTGCAGATTTAAAATAAATACCCTGATAACATGAGAAAATTACATACTCATTTTTACATACATGTATTTTAAATTATGTTTAAAGTTTAAAACATAAAAGCATGAAAAGTAGATTGACAATAGTATGCTCTTTGAACTTTGCTGTTGAGTCTTTTAGCTTTCTGTGCTTTTTATAGAATGGAGCTATCAACTCATCTTTCCACTCTTTTGAATTTGTTGAAATTTTAGTTTCCCATTATTTTTGTCTTGATTTCATCTTATCCTTTCTACTGGAGTTTCAAGCACTTAATCTTGGTTTTTCTCAGTGCTTTCATGACTTCAGGTACAGCTACATATTCTTTACTTTTCTTTCTCCTCCCATTCTATTTAACTTGTCAAAATAATAATTAAGATTATTCTTTTCTGATAAAATATTTTTAAAAGAACCAAGGTTACCAAGTGACTATTATACTGGCATAATTACTGCTATATAATTTTATCTATTTGTTGAAGTTTTACTCCTTCTAAATCACTGTCAAGTGAATCATTTCTAATGAGCAATGAATAGGGTCAGGTTTACTGTATTAACTTATCTAAAAATTTCAGATTTGTTTTTCCTTCTAAAAAGATTTCATTCTGAATCTAGTCATGAAGCTTCTTTGCTTTGATTTCTAGCTGTATCCCAGCTTGATAGGCTCTTAGGGCTGGGGCAGTAGAAATTTTCTGTAAAAATACATCTAAAATTATGACTGACTAGGGTAGAATTTTCAAAGTGTGGTACAAAAGTATCTCTATCCAAATTATCTCAGATGTTTATTCAAAATGCAAATTCCTGGGCCAAAACTTAGAGCAGTTAAATGGGAACTTCTAAGGCTGGGACCTGGGAATCTGCATTTTGCCAAGTTGTCCACGTAAGTCTATAGGCTCACAGTGAAATTTGAGAATCCCTCATCTAAGGAACCCCTATACCTTCAGGGTCCAGTTCATTGATTGACCCTGGCTGCAGAGCAAACTAACCGCACCCCCATTCAACTAACAAAAAGAAAGGTGATTTTAGTTCCATGTATGGAGAACTGCCATAAACTGTTTTAAGAGTCAACGGTTAATAAAGGAAAGACTTTCTACAATAAATAATTGTTTTTAATATCTCGAGTCTAACAATCACAGAGGTCCAGAAAGTCTACAAAAAAAATCTGTTGTTATAATTTCCTGATTAATATTACACGTAATGAATTACTTATTGAGCCCCTACTGTGGGCCAAATATGGTGTTTTGTGCTGCCAGGGATTATATAAAGCTATCCTGGGATGAAAAGCATATGTTCACTCTGTTCTATTCTAAAAGAACCTAGCTGATTTAGTGGCTGATGGAAATGAACATGTATGGTATGTGGGAAGGCAGTAATTTGATGTCTTAGGGCCCACATATAGGAGGCCTCCTAAGGATTTGCTAAATGAAAATTAGGTCCAGAAAGTACAGGTATAGGTCCTTGGTTTATAGCCAAACCACTGGAAAAGGAATGAGCAGCAGCATTTATTTGGAGGCGTGTAAACTCTTCATGGTCAGTCACGATTAATTTATCCCACGATTTCCTTTTTTGTACAATCATACCCCATTATTAGGCAGATGAATTCATTAGCTACAACTGTATTGGGAGTTCCACCTCACTCTAGAACTAATTTAGGGTGTCCCTAGTAGGGTAACCTGTTTGTCATGGTTTACTTGAGACTTTTTCTATTTTAGCATTGAAAGAAAGCCCTATGTTCCAGAAACTCCTTTAATGTCAGACTAGGTAGGTTGGTCATGCTAGTCCTTAGACTAATGCCGGTGAAGTTCTTAGTTGACTAAGTTTCACTCAGTGAATGATGGCGATCCATTACCATCTTGAATTTCTCAGCTCATTTTTCTTACCATTCGTTATGATTACCCTAATGGGCCACAAAACCTAAAGCTCTTTCCTTCAGTAACTTCTACCTTTTAACTCTGTCAAGGCATGTTCCCATGAGCAATGACTCAGACTGATGATAATCCCAGGGATTCAGGAGAGGATCTCCAACCCCGGGGCAGCAGTCGGGTGGGTGGTCCATGGCCTGTTAGGAACCAGGCTGCACAGCAGGAGGCACTCAAGAGAGGAAAGCTTTATCTGTATTTGAAGCCATTCCCCAGCACTGGTATCACCTCTTCAGCTCCACCTCAGCTCATCAGGCATTAGATTCTCATAGGAGCATAGGTGCCTGGTGCCAAAAAGGTTGGGGACCCAGCGCTGCAGTAGCATATCTTCTAAGACTTCTAAGACAGCTGTACATGGCTCGTATTTTTTTTTGTAAATATTATCCAAGCCTCATAATCATCCTGTTCTTCTCAGTTCTATTTCTCTCTCTAAATAATCAGTCTAGTTCTCCCCAAAGTAGGTTCATATCATTTTTTTAAAAATATACATATGAATGTAGACACACACACATAGACCAAAAGGCATGGATTAAAACATGAACCACTTACAGTATTAAATTCCATTCTGATTCTTGTCAATGACTCGTTTTTTTAAACATTTACCCATTTACTCTTTAAAGCCTTATGATTTTGTCATTTCATGGTTTTACCTCCTTCACCTAGATTTTAAAATTTAATTGGTATTAAATTACTATCTCAAAGAGAATATGTAAAGTGTAGGGTTTGAATTAGATCAAGGTTCCTATAAAATTTTGGCACTTATTAGATGCATGAATTTAGGAAAGTTAATCTCTCTAAGCTTTAAAATTTGCTCATCTATAAGAAAATAATGGCTACTTTGCAGGATTTTTTTTTGAGGTCTTTAGATTACGGTTGTGAAACGCGTAAAAAGTATATTGCCTGATACATAGTAGACATTCAATAAATTGTAGCTATTATCCTCACTACAGTATCAGGAGCTTGTAACAACGGCAGCATTCATTAAAATTCAACAGATTGCAGAATTTCAGCCATCAAAGATGATGCCGAAGGCAGAGGCGCAAAATGCTTTCCCGAGGAGGGCAAGGAGAGGAACTGTCTCATTACTTGTCTCACCGCCTCTATCTGAAGGAAGTGATACTTCTTATATCTGGGGACAGTGTCTAAAGTCCTTTCGCCCCCTGGCAGTGTGTTCAGGAGGCTCTGGCTTTCAGGTTTGTTCCCTTGGGACCTCTTGTGTCACGTCTCTCTTTCTGAAAAGGGGAAGGGGTAAAGGAAAAGGGAAGTCACCGAAATGCAAAACCTGTGACCGGATGCCCTATTCTGTCCTGACTACCCGGCCTGCCTGGGTGGGCTGCAGAGTCGTTTCGTTTAAGATTTTCAGGCGCTACCCCCAGGTGCTTGTCAGTGCAGATATGGGGGAGGAGGGTGAGCTCACCCCAGAAACTGAAAGGCAGATGGTGAGGGGTGAGGGGTGACCATGCGCGTCAGCGCTTTGGCTAAAGGACAGAAGAGCAGCGTGCAGGTTTGCACGGGGGGTAGGGAGATGACGGGCGCGAGTAAGGAACAAGCAGGAATCAGGGAAGAACTTCTTTGCACTCCGAACAAGGTTCCTGGA